GGTAAGGCTGTCTCTTAGACTACTTCTGTAGATAATATTACGCTTTCTTAGAATTACAAAGTTCTCTATGACATTTTTGGCCGTTTTGAATTACTAAGTCCATAAACTCAGAAACTAAATGTTCTATCTGCTCTATAAGAATCGTATGGTTATTCGGAGTCCTTATCAAGCTAATCAAAACATTGCATATACAAAGCCTGACATGTTGTAAAAACAATTTTTCCTGCGACAAATTGCTCAAACCTGAGTACTGAGCAGAAAGAACTTTCTAATTCTAAGATAACGAATTGTCAACGATTTCGCAGCCTAATACCCACGTACCTGCTTTGAAATGTCAGTTCCTGTTTACAGTCTCTGACTTTTGCTTTTACAAAATAATATTAAAGAACCATGTATATTTTAACGAGTTCCCATAAAAGCCGAAAGACAATTCAGGCTGCAACACTTCCCACCCAGAGTGATTAGCTTCTTTGATTCATACAGTGCTCTGAGACCAGACCCGGTGCTCAGGTGTAAATGCGTCATGTGAAATAGATATTGTACTTGTACGAAAAACAGTTTTGGTGATAAGCAGAAAAGGAATGGGGGCGGGGGGTGTATTTCACAGAAGGCAAGATCTTTTGTTTTGTTTTTGTAAAGTGTTTTACGGCGCTCGCAACTGCATAAGGTCATATGGGCGCGCGGGACACACCTAATATTTTCAGTTGGTAGGAAATTTTGAATTTTGCCTGTGTGGCGGCCGAAGCCTACTCTTATCGATTTTAGACCACCAAGGGATCTTTAACGTGCGCAACTTGCACACGGGCCCTCCGAGATTTTTCGCCCTTGTCCGAGAAGGCTAGGTGTAGATCTTTCCTATCAGAAGATCAGGAGTGTGGCTGAAAGACAGCAGTAAGAAGAAGAGCCAAGGAGTCACAGTAGAAAGGCTGCAGAAAGAATCAGGAGCCCAGAGGAAGGGGCAAAGGAGGTGAGGTGGTGGGGGCAGAAAGAGGAGACGAAAGCAGATGACAGAACATTGCTAGAGAGCAGGAAATGAGGTGAAAGGAGACAAATTTAGAGAAGAAAATGTTTCGGTCGCTACCCGGATTCGAACCCGGGACCTTTGAATGAGAGGCCAACACCTTAACCCCTAGACCACGAGAGCCCCCGGCAAGATCTTTGGAGCATACAGGGGGTTGGGGGGGGGGGATATACAATTTTACCAAATAAAAAGTATGGAAGTGAGACTATGTTTCACCTAAAGCTTCTATATGAGATTAGATCTAATCCTTCTTAGCTTCTTGCTTATGTCAATCACGTCATAAAATTCGAGAACAACAGAGGGACACAGGATCTTTAGATTGATAATGAGCACTTGGACTCTCAAAATATGCAACAACAAAAACAAACCAACAAACCACCTGCACGCACATTTAAAAAAAACTGTAGCGAAACTGTTTTTAACACAGTAAAGACCCACACCATCCTTAAAAAATTCCCCTATGAAATCTCGTCTTGTGTGAGTGTTTGGCGGGTGCTCTGGTGTGGTTTGCTTCTTCTTTTCTATCAAGTAACTGTCGTCCTTATCTCCCCTTCTTCTTTTTTATGTTTGTTGCTCTCTTGTAACACCTCTAATCTTCTGGCGCACATATGACCTTATGCAGTTGCGAGCTCCGTAAAACCTCTACTAAAACTAAAACTCACATCTTGTTTCTCTGCAACCTGTTTGCTTGGTATGCACTAATGCAGAAGCACACTTGCCAAGAATTGAAAAACATTTTGGAAAGTCCCATATTGTCATTGCCAAGAATAAATTAATGGGGACCAAATAGCTGCTTTTGCCTTGCTTCCTCTGCAAACCAGTCCCCTCATGCCACTCCATTTGACAAAGACAATTCCTTCCAGTATGTGTAAATATGTATGGCTTATGTGTTCTGTCTTATTTTTGCTTTGTCTTTTTTTCGCCAATTAATGTTGTTGTTATTGATTGTTTGTTGAGGTTTGTTTTTTCTGGGTTTTTTTATTTATTTTATTTTTTGAGGGGGGATCCTTATTTTGCTAGTTTTTGTTGCACGTCTCGTCTAAAGATCTATCCTTTATAGCATCAAAATAGAAGCTCATAGGAGGATTTGAGACAATAGCTTCTTTTTTAAAAAAAATTAACACTCCGGCTAACAAATATTGATTTTAGAAAAAAAACGTAATTCATATGTGCAACTAATTAAAGCAAACTCACTGTGGGGGCATAATACATAATTTGCCATCATGATACATTTTACTCTTGTACTGAACATCTCAACTTACAAAGGACATACCCCCAGGCTGTACTAATTTTGCTCTAGAACCTCTGACCTGAGGTAACGAGGTTATGTGACGAAACCGCAAACTTCCAGCTAGATCGGAAAGATCAATAATCAGTAGACCGTAACCGTGAACTAATCGGTACCCCCACGACGTTTTGTTTGTGGCTACAGGAATTGTTCTTTTGTGTGTGCCCGTGTGTGTGTGTGTGGGGTGTGTGTGTGTGGGGGGGGGTGTGTGTATGTGTGTGTGTGTGTGTGTGTGTGTGTGTGTGTGCGCATGTGTGTGTGTGTGTATCTATGTCTATGAGTGGGTGTGAGATAGATAGATAGATAGATAGATAGATAGATAGATAGATAGATAGATAGATAGATAGATAGATAGATAGATAGATAGATAGAATGGGGAGAGATGGATACACAGACAGAGAGAGAGTGGAGAGAGAGAGGGAGAGAAGGAGAGAGAGAGGGGGGAGAAGAGGAGAGAGAGAGAAAGAGAAAGAGAGAGTGGGAGGGAGAGAGATAGAGAGAGAGAGGGGGGGCATTTTTGTACTACACAAGCTAGGATTCACTTTTGCGTGTACCTTTTTGGCGGGGACACAGACGCACCCATGACAGAGGCCCCACGAAACAACAAATACAGTGGACATTCTCAATCGAACAAACTTTACATTTATTATTATCTAAGCATAATAAGACTTTTAATCTACATTCGTGTCACAGCCTTTATTCAAATTTGTCTTTGAACACTTGAGCCTTTTTAAAAAGAATATAAAAGCAAGAACACGCTCTCGAACAATAGCAAGGGCACAAAGCTTTGGACAACTAATTCCTTTTCATTCAGATTCCTGTTTTTCGTAAGGGCCCCAGAGCACAATGAAATGCTTTCATCATGATAATCTTTATTAACTTTTCGCAAAATGTCAGCAATACCATCAAACATGTATGCAATTTTCATGTGACATAATTTATGAATTTATATTATAACTTTAGAAATTATGATACTTGGTATAATATTGAGAAGTCAATTCAACAATGTGCATTGTAAACAACTTTGAAAAAAACTGTGCTTGAGCTGTGAACACGAGGCGCGTGCTAAAATGTACAAGTTCATTAAAAAGTTGCTAGATTTTGCATGCTTTATTTTTTTACCATGTCTTCTTAGGTGTGCAAAGAAAACTTACACGTGATCAATCATAATTTTGAGTGAACACCACGCTCACACAAGGACTATAAAAGACCTTATAACTTAATCGCCAAACAGTGAGCCTATGAGACAGTTGAATTCGCACAAAAGATGAAGGGCCATTGATTGCCTAGAAGCTGTTGTTTCCCTAAGAAAGAAGATTCGAGGAATTGCTGTTTTGCCTTATGTAATCAGCCGACTACAAGACCGGTAGAGGAAGGACTGATTCATCCAACGCCAGGCTGTTGCAACCCGAACAACAACAGCTACCATCATCCGGCAAGCTGACCATTAATGATTTATTTATAGAGGCACCAACCATCCATGTCCAGGTGCTGTTTTAGCCGATCCGGCAAGCTATAACTCACCCAAATGTAAGCACTCGAATTGTTACAAATCGCCTGCACGAATTTGAGCTGCATCTGGACGTCGCGTCCGCAGACACCGGCTCACCCAAGACCATCAAGAAGCATGCCGACGTTGGAGTACACAGCTTTAGAGGTGAACCCGAGCAGACTGGGGTCATGTCCTCTTCACCGACAAGTCTAGGTTCCACTTGGAGCCACATGATGGCCGCATTCGAGTGTGAAGACGTCGTGGGCAGCGCTTTCAAGACGACTGCAGAGTAAAAACAGCCCGCTTTGGGGGAGGTTCTAGTATCGTGTTGGGTTGGATAAGTCTTCACAATAAGACCCCTTTCTGCCACGTTCAAGTTCAAGGCAAACCCAATGCTCTTTGCTATCATGATGAGATTGTACAACCTCAAGTGGTCCAGCAGCTGCAGCTGATTGATGCTGGCGTAATCTTCCAGGACGACAACGCTAAGCCACACAGTGCTCGAGTCATCAATGATTTCATTGCTCAAAATGGAATTATCACGCCGCCTTGCCTTGCAAATAGCCCTGATCGAAACCCAATTGGACATTTAATTTATGGTACGCGCTAAGCAAGGCACCGTGTTCTGAAAAAATACCCACCTGGGGGAACTCGTGACCAGCTCCATCACAATCTTCAGCAAGAGTGGAATGTTATTCACAAGTGTTCCTGACAAACTTAGGTCTATGAACAATAGGTCGGAGAGTGCTTGGCTAATAATGGAGGACACGCACTCGTTACTGATCCTTGTATTGAAACTTTCAATTTTGTGATGTTTTATTTTGAGGGTACCCATATCCACGTTATATATTGTTGTTTGAGTCTATTTTCTTACAATGTTTGATGTTTTAACATGTTTCTTAAGATATTACATGACTATCTCTGTTAAAAAACCAGACTTTGTGAGTGGTATTTATCATTTAGTTCTCTTTTTATTTAAATTCATTTTACGTTTTCGAAGAGAATATTACTATTTTTCTGCTAGCATGGCTTCCTTTTCATATACTGAATGTGATTGGCCTTCTAAAAATTCTAAACGTCAGAGTACCTAAAAAGAGAAAAGCTGTCGATTTGAAGTCATAAAGCTTAAGAAATATTAAAAGTTATGTATTGTTGTAATCGGTTTCTGACCCCATCATCACATCAGACTAGGAATTATTAAGGAAATGGACTTCTTGGACTTTATTGTCAGGCCAGCTGGAGCTGTGAGAGAAACAACTCAGCAGAAAGATGAAGAACATTATATTTTTCAGTTACACGATCCCTTCAACGAGCTGTGGGAGCCATAACAAAAGTTCCAGTGTGTAGCATAACTCTGCTAGGGTTAAGGATTTGCTCCGTCTTCATCGACCGGTGTGTACCCTGAACAATTACTTTACAGCTTACACGCTCTGACTGGCAGACCAAAGTATCGGAACATCGGTGAAGGAGCTGGGCTGAAAGTGAACGTATTCAGGATTTTGGTAATGGTATTTTTTATTTTTAGTTATCGTTATAACAGGAACTATGTGGCTATTGGTGAGCCAATAAAAAAATTACGTGCTTTTTCACTTCGGCCGGAAGTTATAAAATGTAATCTAGGTAGGTTTATGGGTGTAGTTATTTTCATCTTTTTTTCACCCCCTTTATTGCCCTCTTTTACCGTGAGAAACTGATCTCTTGGGTCACTTTTTTCAGAATCAGCAATTCTCTTCTTTGTATCCAAACCTCCTTATACTTTTGGCACAGAGAACAGTCTGACTTCCCGTCGGCATTAAAATAAATGGCCTGCTCATCTGGTAGTTAAACTATTGTGTTGTAATATTAGACCTCCGCCCCCTCTGCCGAACTTGAGTAGAAAATAGATGCTACCTGAAACTAATGCCTAGACATGACATCGTTAATTCATGGCTGCGGTATAGGACTATTTCTGTATGCTTTGAACAAACTAAGTGCTAAATTATTGGACCAATATTTCTAAATTTAGTAGAACAATCGGAGTTATTATTTTACAAAGCAACTTTCATAATACCTAATATGTTCATACTTTGGTATTTGATATTCAAAGTGCATTTCGAGGTGGAAACAGTAGACACTCGCTCAGTCTTATGCAAGACGTACAAAAAAATCTGCAATCATTTTTCATAGCCGAAAACATTTTTGGGTTCAACATGATATGATATGTATGCAATGTTGGATTAAATAAGAATGGAGCATTACTAACTCTCAGTACTCTGCTTATTATTTAAATCATTCAAAGCTGTCAGCCTTCGTGATTTTATAACTAGTTCCGTGTACATTACAAGAGGGAAAACAAAACAAAAAGAGCGGAAAGACGTGACGTATGCGGTATTCTCAAGTCCTCTGAATAAAAAAAAAAGCAAACTGCAATAATATTTCCGCCATGTTTGTGGTTATGAAGTTGTTGTTTTTTTGTTGGGGTTTTTTTTTGGGGGGGGGTTGTTTTGTTTTGTTGTTGTTGTTTTGTTGTTGTTGTTGTTTTGTTGTTGTTGTTTTGTTGTTTGTTTGTTGTTGTTTTTTGGGGGGTTCGGACGTGGGTAATCGCAGTGCGGATTTAAAACGGCGTTTAACATGAACAGTGTTTTTTTCCCCAGAGCATTGTCTTTTCTATCTAAGCAGTTTTGTTCTATCTGTACTCGCTTTTTTTTTCCTTCATAATTAAATACAGGGTGATCCCCCAAAAAAAACTTTACAACTTGTTTTGTAAATATCTTCCTCCATACTGAAGATTTGCGTTTCAGATTTGAGCATAACGTTTGGAAGCCAAAAGAAATTGGTCTGATATGTAGGCTATCTTAAATAAGTCCATTGAATAGTTTTGCTCTATATAGTGCAGTAAAAAAACAACCCATTTTCAATCTTGTCGCCAACAGCATGGCGCACTAGTTCGCATTACCACTAAAAGTTGCAACAATCGCGCCATATTGCAAGCTACAGCAGTCTAACAAGTCAACAGAAGTCTGCAGATATTATTTCCCCAAATTTTGTTTGCCTGCTGAGATCATGGCTGCGTTTAGTAAAGAGCAGAGAGCTTTTTGTATTGAACATTACCTCTACACAAACTCACCATCCATGGCATTTCGTACGGTCTGCTTACGGCATGGAGAGAATGCTTAGATGCCTTCAAGACCTTTGGCGTCATGAGTAGAGAAGTTCTGTCAGTTTGGATCTATAGCGAATCAGAACTAAAAAGTACTTTAAAAAATAACCACTTCAGGTCGAACACGCACCATATGCAGCCCTTTAAATGTCACCAGAGTGCAGATTTCAATAGTCGAGTCCCATGAGACGTCCGTCCGTAGACAATCTACAGCTAGGACTTTCCTACTCGTCAACAGTCTGCATTCTCATGGCAGATCTTAACCTACGATTATACAATGTTCATCTTCGCTAGGCCGAGATGACATGGATCAGAGCATGGCAATGTGTTCATGATTCCTCGATTGTCTTGTAAAGAGAGATAATTTCCTCGGTGTCATTTGGTTTAGTGCAAAGCCCATTTTCACCCTGCGGGATATGTTTAACTCCAAAAATGCTGTCTATTGGGCACTCCACTCTATTGTCTCTAGAAGCCACTTCTTAGTGAACATGTACAGTGTATGCGGCTTTAAAAACTCATGGTTTAGCAGGTCCTGTGCACGGCGCCACTGAACATTTCGAACGACTCATTAAAAATGTGTCGAGTTCAGACGAGGGGATGTGGAGCACAGCTTTTTAGAAATTTCCGAATGAAATCATTAGGTTTTTAAAACTCTGTAAAAGAAATTAAATATTTTTTAATGTAACAGGGATGGAAAATTAATGTCAAAGAGAAAATAAAGAAAAAGGTCAACTAATCTTTCACGACTTCCTTTACAAGATTTTTAAACATTGGTGAACTTTGAGTTTTTGTGTGCTTTTTTCTTTTAGCCGTTTCCGTTTTCAAAACTTGTTTCTTCTTCGTGGAGTTTATATCAAACAAATTCCTTTTGAATGGATTATGTCTGCTCCAAATTACAGCATTCTAGAACAATTTTTTGTGCGAGATATTCAGAAAAAAAAGTTGCAAAGTTTTTTTGGGATCACCCTGTACTCTGTCATTATTGCTTTCCTTCAGCGATTGAACTGATCGGGTCTACCTCAAACAGGTATGGGGGAAATTAACTCTGTACAAGCTATGGCTGATGTGAGTGCTTGCTTTTTACTAGGACTTTTTAACTACCTATAATCAGCGACTCCTGGCCATGAAAAACTTGAACAAGATAGACAAATTTGAAACGAATGAAAGTACTGCTGTTATCTCTTCTCAACGACCTTGTTTTGAGTAGTCACACGTTTAGTCTAATAAACTATTAAAACACCAAAAGACCTTTATAACTAACGGCAGGTTAAAAAGTTGTGAAAAGGTTTTGCCCGAAGTAGGAATGAATATTAAGTGATAAATTTTATCAACTATTTTGCCGAATGTACATTTGGGTTCAGGATGGTTAACTAGGTCTATTTTATGTTCCTGTGACGGAAAGGTTTTTTTCCGCGAGAAGGCTAATAGGGCTCTTCTTTGTCTTAGCTTGATCACCTCGTCAGACAAGTCAGCCTTCGCCCCTGGAGCAAACTAAGCTCAGCTGAAATTCATATACATAAAATACACTTCCTGTTGAAGCTTCATGTTAGCTTTTAGAAATAAGGAAGTTTCTGCCAACAAATAGCTTTGCTTTTTTTTTTTTTTTTTTACTCGAAATTGCTTTTGCTGTAAACTATATTATGTAAAGATTAAGGTATCATGGTAAACTTTTGAAAGCAGAAAACAGTGTGATTAGCGCTTTTAGATCGTAAACTAGTCTATCTTGTCAATTTGAACTATTCCAGTGAACTAAAATTAACGATGACACTGTTTCCCTGGCAACGAAAACGTCGAGCCTGGTAATTATTGGAGAGTCATCGTCGCTACCAAACTCAAAAGAAAAACAAAAACTTTCCACAGTGAAAGAAAAGGGCTCTTTGGTACAACCTCCCTTTCAGTGTAACTAACTACAAAGCGAAAAGATTGAAAGGACAGAATAGGAAACAAAGTTTAAACGAAAACCAGGAAAATCGTCTCTGTGACATTAAAAGACCATTAGCACGTAAGTGTTCCTTACACCATCAATAAGCAAAACTAATATTCTGTTTCAAATAACATGTTGTTAGTGGCACGTAGTCATATTTCGTCTTTGTTATATTATACTTGTTTGGGGGTGGGAGTGCGGGCTTCTATGATTTACAGCTTGGGATTTTTTTTTTTGTGTGTTGATTTTGAATTGCAGTATTGGTGGTGGTAGTGATAGCGTTGCTGCTGCTGCTATTACTACTGCTGAGCGGTGGGGTTGTTTGTTTTGATTTTTTTAGGGGAGGGAGGGATCTCAAGACGTCCTTACATTATTATCTTTAAAAAAATTAAACCGTTCGCTGCCCATCCCAAGTCAAAACGTTATGACAATACTGACATTTAGATTTAATTTTTTTTAACCAAAAAATAAAATTCCGCTCAAAAGAGAACAAGACGTTTTGACATGCTAGGTGTGCTAACATTTTGAACTTCCTCGTCTAGTACACTTTTTTTTCTAATCTTTTAAGTTTTGTTTTTGTTTCTGTTTTTTCATTTGGGTAAAAATTTTACAGCGCTCGTAACTGCAAACGGTCATAAGAGAGCGAGGATACACGTTGGTTATTTTCACGTTTGTTCATAGCTCGGCGTTTCTTTTTGCGTTTTTTGTAGGGGTTTTTTTCCTCTCTTTTTTTTTTACTTTAAGAGGAGAAATGGTCGAAGTATCTAAAATGCATGATAAAAATTCAGTTTTAAAAGCAGTAATTGATATTTTAAAGCATTACTTACCTCTGTGCGAGTAAAGACCAACAGACTTAGTGAAATCGAGAATTCTGTTGGGATCAACGATGGAGAACACATACTTTTAAAATCAGTACATTTATTAAAATATTTCCTTTTGGTCTCTACAAAGTCCTGAGATTCCAACAGGATTTGCCTGATAGTAAGGTCAGTATTGCATCCGATAAAATGTTATCATTTTAAAAAAATCTCCCTGCAGGAGGTATTTGTGCAACTGGGAGGTATGTCCAATATGGAGTCTGGTTAAGATAACTCCATCTCTTCTAAAGAGTCCCAAAAATTTTATGGGTCCTACTTGGGCATGATATTATGGAGTATATTGTTTACCTGTTAGCTCCGGTGTTTCTCCCACAGACTGGAGGTGTACCATTTGCAAAGTCCGTTGATCCCTTCATCCGGGGCATGAAAATAATTCTTTCGCCAGAAGATCGACCTGCTGGTTTCCACGGATGCCTACGTGGTTAGGTAGCCATGTAAATACGTTATGCTTTCCCATTATGAAAAAATTAAAAATGACTTGGAAGAATTTTCTACAGAGCCCAATGCAACGTCAAGGCAGGTGGCCTACAGACAGAACGGAGTTCTCGGAATGGAGCCTCTTCTGTTGAGTGCTAGTTGTGGAATATTGCATTGGCGTCTTCATCTGAGTCCGATTAGTTTTTTTGGGGGGTTTTTTTTTCCGTTCTGGATGTTCTTATGTATACATTTATTTTGCGTTGGTAAGATGCCATTAAAAGAGGTCGTGAAAAAGAAACTGTTCTGTCTTTTTTTCCTGAAAATCACATGTTTTTGCTCTCCTTGGGGACTCTAGGTCCAAAAGGTTTCACAATTTTAGCGTTTTTATTTGTATTTGTTTATGTTGACAGGATGAGTTTGAAAAAATACAGTCATATATTAGGTTAGTCGTGTTTTAAGCTTTGGTTTTACGGCGTAGTATAATGTGAGTTGGTTTCTTTTTTTCTTAATTTTGAGGGATGAGATGTTGGTCTCAGCCTTGCGGCTCTTCCCGGGGGATTTGCAGGGAGTCCTCAGAGCGAGGAGGAGGCCTCAGATCTGAAAAGGATGGAGCATAATTATTTAGAATGCTTATGCGAGGTCATGTAAAGCCATAGACTTGGCAGCCCTAGTCAAGCTTGGATCTGACAACAGAACAGCAAAGGTGAATGAGGTGTTTAGAGTCACCACCCCACGCCAGAAGAGACAATATTTTAAGAACATTTAAGGTATTTTGGCACCTCACGGGAAGGACTTTAATTTGAGGAATAAAAGTCGTTTTTTTGCCCAAGATAATTCCTAGAAAACGAGCCTGATCCTCGACGGAAATCCTTCCCCCGTATAATGTCAAATCCGTCCGCAGTACACGCAGAAATGCATTAAACCGTCTTTGCCAGAGAAAACTTTAAACCATTTTCATTTGCTGACTTTTCAAATTTTAATAGCTACGTGTGCAGGTGTCTTTCTATAGATCTTACTTGATGATATCTAGATCGGTAGCATATCAGAAAAGCGTCGACGTATAACGAGCTGTCTGTGTTGTTTAGGAGGGCCGGGATGGTGGAATTTAGTTTTTAGTTCAAAGAGGACACAAGAAAGGATCCTCCTTAGTGTTTCGGGAACTTTGTTGTAGTCGAGTGGGGGTCAAAGTTTGGGCACCTTCAATGATGAACTCGCTCTAGCCTGCTTTTTATAAGTTGAAGCGTTCTGGGATCGGGTCGTTTTGGAGGCTACTATTGTTGTTGTTGCTGTTGTTGTTGTTGTTGTTGTTGTTCTTGGTTGTTGTTGTTGCTGATGTTGGGTTTTTTTGTTTGTTGTTGTTTCGGTTTATTTTGTTTCCGTTTTTTGTGTTTATTTTTTGTTGGTT